ACCTGCCCCCGCCCCACTGGCCTAGTCCCCCCTCACTGCCCTCCTGCCAGCCTAATTGCCCCCAACTGTCCCCCCTGCCAGCCTGGTTGCCCCTAACTGCCCCCCCCCACCAGCCTGGCTGCCCCATGCAGCCTGGTGTTCAGTCGTTTGGTTATCCTTCACCAACCCCCTGCTGGCCTGCTAATAGGCAGCCATCTTGTGAGGATGTGAGGGTTAATTTGCATATTACCTCTTTATTATATAGGATAGAATCAAAATAGACAAAAATCTTTTTATAAAATCATAATTCTTACATGTTTTGTTTATAGAAATTATATTTTTTTGTAATTACTTCCCACTCTAAAGGAGGATAGGCCTTTATTTTTCCCATTTGAAATGCTATTCAGTTTCAATTATTACCTGTAAAAAAAGTATGATGTGCTAATATATAAATGGCATATAATAGATTGCTGTTTGAGGAACAAATGTACATTAAAATGTAAATTGAAATACAATTATGTATTATTAGAGGCCTGGTGCATGAAATTCGTGCACAGGGGGTAGGGGGGTCCCATCAGCCCAGCCTGCACCCTCTCGCCAGCCTGACCCCTTGGGGGATGTCCGACTGCCAGTTTAGGCATGATCCCGGTATCACCTAACATTGGAAAAAGTAAAACTTACAGCTCCTAACTGCTCCCCCTGACCAGCCTTGTCACCTCTTATTGCCCCCCTGCTGGCCTGGTTGCCTCCAACTGCCCCCCATGCCAGCCTAATCTCCCCAACTGCCCCCCCCCACTGGCCTGGTTGCCCCCAATTGCCCCCCTGCTGGCTTGGTTGCCCCTAACTGCCCCCCCCCACCAGCCTGGCTGCCCCATGCAGCCTGGTGTTCAGTCGTTTGGTTATCCTTCACCAACCCCCTGCTGGCCTGCTAATAGGCAGCCATCTTGTGAGGATGTGAGGGATAATTTGCATATTACCTCTTTATTATATAGGACTAGTTAGCAGGCACCCCCACTCTTTATTATATAGGATAGAATCAAAATAGACAAAAATCTTTTTATAAAATCATAATTCTTACATGTTTTGTTTATAGAAATTATATTTTTTTGTAATTACTTCCCACTCTAAAGGAGGAAAATAATTTTCCCTCTACCCTTCTAGGTTCTTGGCTGAGACTCCCATCCTATAATAAAATATAGAATAATAGGAGCAAAAGAAGTGTAATAAAATGTATATCTCTTGTATACATGGGAGATACCAGGAATAGCTCACCAAAGGCTCAAGCTTAAATATCATCTCTAAGTTAAGATAAAAGTTGGGGGCAGGGTGCGACCATTTATGGAGGTTACAAGAAAAACACTCTAAGCCAGGGTATTGTTGTTATGCAAATTTGCCTTAACCTTCTCCATTGATAGAGTTTCTAGAGCAGTGGTTCTCAACCTGTGGGTCGCGACCCCTTTGGGGGTCAAACGACCCTTTCACAGGGATTGCCTAAGACCATCGGAAAACACATATATAATTACATATTGTTTTTGTGTTAATCACTATGCTTTAATTATGTTCAATTTGTAACAATGAAAATACATCCTGCATATTGGATATTTACATTACAATTCATAACAGTAGCAAAATCAAGTTATGAAGTAGCAACGAAAACAATTTTATGGTTGGGGGTCACCACAACATGAGGAACTGTATTCAAGGGTCACGGCATTAGGAAGGTTGAGAACCACTGTTCTAGAGATTAGTCATCCCCTTATTCCTGATACAAAGTGAAAGACACCCTTATCAATGGAGATTTCCCTTATAAATGTAAACTTTCCTCACAGTAGAGCAGCTTCTATTCTGTTTGCAAAAATACTTCTGTGCCTGCAGCCTCTCAAAAATTATCAGCCCCAAATAATCAATATGCCAAAGAGGCATATTTTGGTGTAGCATATTCTGCTTCCTTTCACTCATCATGATTGTATTCAAAGATTTTCATTTGTTAGCACTATTTTGAAAAAGATGAATTGTTATTCTCTGTAAAATTCATTGCAAGTAAATATCAAAGGAAAGTGGATATCTTTGTTACTAATTTTTTATGCATTGATCTTTAAAGTACTTGCAATATGCTGAGCTTCTACATACACTTTAAAGAACATTTTTATTGAGGTATAATTTGTATGCCATAAAATACACCCATTGTAAATGTTCAAGTCAATAATTTTTAGTAAATGTATAATGCCAGAAGCCAGTCCATCCTTGCTGCTTGACACAGTCACTGCAGGGAAGAAACATCTGCACAGCATGTTTCAAGGGACCTGGCGTATATGGCATACTGTTCTTAATATGTTTACTCACCTTCTTGGCGCTATGTGTTTTAACCAAGGTCACCTCTCCGAGAAAAGTTGTTTCCCCACGTAGGGATTTTTCCCTGAAGTCAGGGAGGGGATAAAAAAGTAACCTTTGGAATAGAAATTGTTAGGATTAAAATCAACTGGTATAAATACAGATGTAACAAGACAATAACACACAGAATCTGGCTGGAGATCCTGGCTAGAACCTGGCTAGAGAACCTGGCTAGGCTGCTGATCAACTGAACGCTGTCTCCGTGTCATTCCTTCTTTGCCGACTCTGTCCACACCTTTGGGAACCCCTGGACCTGCTGGGGCTGGACCCCAACAGTATAAAATTGTGCAACATTCCCCCCCCATCCAGTTTTAGAAGATTTTCATCATCCCTCAAACTTTTCTCATGTCTATTTGTAGTCACTCCCCACTTCCATCCTAGTCCCAAATAACCACTGATATATATGCCTTTTGTCTCTACAGTACATAAACTTTGACAACTTCTCTATTAAGTTGAGATCATATTGAGGGAAATACATAGAATTATCATATTTATGCTTTTATTCAGCAAATAAAAGCATAAATACAAGCACCTACTAGATGGTTAATACAGTAGTAGATATAATTTATATCCATTGTGGTATAAACAGTTGAAAGAAGGGAATATAGTAGGTAGACAGGCATGAGCAGAGTAAGAATGATGGTCCAAGTATGGAAGGTCACCAGGGCAGAAAACTCTGGGTGCCTAGCAATGGACAATTGTCTGATGGAATCTCACCCTCAGGATGACCTTTCCTCCCCTAGCATATTGCTGGTCATGTTTTTTAGACCCCCTAACTATCTGACCCTCCCCTGACCTTTCCTCCCCTAGCATATTGCTGGTCATGTTTTTTAGACCCCCTAACTATCTGACCCTCCCCTGACCTTTCCTCCCCTAGCATGTCACTAGTCATGTGATAGACCCCTTAGAGAAGGAAATGGGGGAGGGGGCAGAGAAGAGCCAAATAGCCTCATAAGACTCCCATACAAGCCTTCGTGAAGCGGGATTCTTGGATTGGAATATGCAGTGTTGCCCTGGGAAGAATTGTTCCTGGGCTTTTTGTCCATTGGAGTTGAAGAATGAATCCATTGACCGAAGATGGTATAGCAGAGGTGGAAATTTATTGAAGAACAAGTACAGATTCCCACTTGGGGAGGGGGATAGGGTCCCACTGAGTTCCTTTCCCCTATGGCTTATAGGGCAGATCTTTGTGCCTTGATATCCCCTCTGATTGGTCACTACTCCCTTAGACTGGTTACTATAGTAACTCCTGAGCTCAAAGGTCCAACCTTACATGGGACATGTGAGATTCTCTCCCCCTTCCCCCCTTCCTTATTGTTTTCCTCTTCCCTTTGGGCTTTCTTCTTCTCCTTCTGGATGAAGGGCTTCCTTCCTTTTATTTTGTAAATATAGACCTTCTGCTTTTCCCAGCTCCCTCATTCTATGGAAATGTACCTGTTGCAGCTTTTCAGCTCCCCTATTCTATGGAAATATCCCTTCTGCTGCTGTGCTCTTCCATGGTTTCCTTCATGGTCCCCTTAATTTCCAAAATTTCTGAAATTTTCTAAACCTCTCCTATCTTACCCCTAAAATTACTTTTCAATGTTATTGGACAATTAAGCAAGAAATGTCTTTCCTTGAGGTCAGTGGATAATTTGAGGGCCTTTAAGTAGCAGCCGTTATGCTTTCCAGTGCTCAAAGATGGGGCTAAATTCTGGGGTCTGTGGGCGAAGGGAAGCTCAACTAAAATTTGGTCCTTAGATATTTTGTCCAGATTGGTATGTGGGTTAAGCCAATTCAGCTAATCATTTATGAGGAAAAAGTTGTTATGTTTTTCTGGGCATTATAGCAAGTCTCCTAGTTTCTTGGTCCTTTAATCACAGGCAGTAATTTCTGTACAAACTTGGGTTTAAAATGGAAAGGAATTCTTAGAGGTAAAATAGGCAGGTTTAGGGAGTTTTAGGAATTAGGGGGCCCATGGGGTAGAACAGCAGGGCTGCAAAGCTGGGAGTTGCCAGAAGGCAAACATTCACAGAACAAGGGGGCTGGGAGCTGCCCAAAGGTAACATTCACAGAATAAAAGGAGAGGGAACCACTCACTCCAGAATAAAGAGGAAGGCCACAGGGAGTAGAACAAAAGGGAGGAAAAGAGGGGAACCCCAGGTGGGGTTCAGTTCTGAAGCTGCTATAGTGACCAATCAGAGGGGATATCAGGACACAAGGAACTGCAACTTGTATAAACCTTAAAAAGAGTGACTTAGTGGGCTACCCCTTGGAAACCTCTTCCCCACGTGGGAGTCTGTGTTTGTTTCCCAATAAATGTCCACCTTTTCCTATACCACCTTTTGTCTGTGGCTTCATTATTCGAATCCACCTGGAAATGGAGTCAGAGCAACAGGTCACGATTGGCAGAAATAGAGGAAAGCAGACGATTGGATATAGAGTTCAAGGCCACGTTTATAAGGTTTTTCAAGAATTTTATGGAAACCGCCGATAAATTTAATGAGTCCCTCATTAAGTATAGTGAGACCATGCAGGACATGAAAAAGGACCAACTAGAAATTAAGCATACACTGACTGAAATAAAGAATAATTTACAGAGATCCAACAGAAGACTAGAGGATCCCAAGAAACAAGCTAAAGATTTGAAATACAAAGAAACAAAAAATACCCAACCGAAAAAGAAAAAAAAAGTAAAGAGAGTCCAAAATCCCTGTTTCATTTGCATAACTGCTGTCTTAAGGATTAAGCCCTTAAGACAATGTGGCTCTGATCTCCATCAAATAATCCCAGGAACAAAGCCTCAGCGCCATTGACCATTGTTAGCATAAGAAATATTCAAACTTGTGAAGAATTTTTGTGAGTGGTTTTTTTTTGTTTGTTTTTTGTTTTTGTTTTTTAGCCAAACTGTGGACAATTCCTGGGAAGCAGAATCTCAAGGGATCAAGACAATGCTTCAGAGAACAGTTTAGCATCTTGTTTCATACATCACAATCAAAAGAGGACATGGAAGTGGGTTACATGAAATCCATAGTGATGGATTAGGGAGGTGGGAGAAAGCAAAGTGGGGGAACATCTGGGATTGGATAAACAGTGAAATGATAGACACATACTTCTTGTACTTACGTGGGTGCAGGATAGTTATTAGTCAACAATGAACTCAATAACAATGAGGGGATTTGTGGTCTCTGCCAAGGGGTGCCTGTGCTTTGAGAGGGTCCAGAAAAAGGAAAAAAATTACTGACATTCCAACATATGTTATTGTAGATGCAAATAGACAAGCTCAGTTAAAGTGAAGATTGACTTTTGTCAGGGAAGATAGCCTAGGACATGACTACCCACCATAAACTGCTTTTTATTTTTAAAAGTTTTAATGTCAGACCATCCTTTATAGTTACTTTAGGTCTCTGAGGCTGCCACACAGGCCTTGTCTGAGCTCATCGGGTTAGCATGTGGCCCCTTTTTGCCCACACCATAGAGACAGAGTTTTGCTCAAACTAGAAACAACATCTAGGCCTCAGTCGCCGTTCAGCTCCAGACCCAAACAAGCAGCAAGGCCTGGTAAGGGACGCCCCGACTGACATCAGGACTAGCTGCTATGACTAATGAACCACCACTCTGAAAAGACACCTTTGGAAAACTGATGGATATTCCATTGAGATCCTTTCCAGGGACCTCCCCTAAAATCTCTGCTCTTAAAAGCCCTTTGGAGGGAGGACCAAGTGTGTGGCTCTCTCTTGAGCATACCTGTGCCTTTCCCACCCCCTTCCTTCCCTAGCACTCTCTCTCTCTCTAAAGTATATGGGAGCTTTTCTGCCGCTCCTTACCCTAAGTGCATATATCCTTGCTTTCCTTCTCCTAAGTTCCAAGGACCCCTTTCTTTGTCTCTGTAACTTGTTTCCTGAGCCTACACATACCAGCTGGCTCATTTCTTCCACAGCTCACTTCTACCTCTGTGACTTTCCAAATAAACTTTTGTTTGTATTTGAGTTTTGGCTCTGAATTCTTTCTTAGCTAGAACTCAAGTACCAAGGTTGTTTTATCGAGGTCCAATAGCCAGTAACAATCTGGTGCCGTTTCACTGCTAACAGAAACATAAGTTGAAATGCAATTAAAAATATTCTGAGTTAGGGGGACAAAGTAGATATAAGCTCCCTGCCTCATGGAATTTTTATTATGGATGTAAATTATGGTAAATGATATTGTCAGGGAAGGGGAAAGTTTCCTCCTGCCCCTCTTGAGTTATTATGACTGGGTAAATAATGAAATTGAGACAAGACCAGATTACTAGGAGAAAAAACAGTTTAATACATGCACAAAGGAGATCTTAAACGATGCTCAGAGAGATGATGGAAGCAGGAAGCTTTTTATACTATTTAGACGAACATTAAGTTTGTAAGGATTTGACATGACAAATAAACTTAGGTTTGGGTGCTCATTAGTTAGGAATCTAAGCAAAATTCGGGCATGGGTATTAAGTCAGAAAAAAGTAACAAGTTTGTTTATACAAGCTTCTTTGCTCTGAATTCCTAAACCTTGAAGATAAGGATGGCTCTTTTCTTCACACACACACACACACACACACACACACACACACACACACACTGAAGCAAGGAAGGCATCTTTCACAGGGGGGATGTTTTTTCTGCTTTTAAGGAGACAAAGGAGGGTCAACGTGCCCTTCTTGCACTGGTTGCTTTTCAAGTAACTTTAATTCAAAATAATCAATATGCCATCATGGGATATTTTGTGGCTGCTTTTCCTGGGCCCCAACAATACATAACTTAGGACATAAATAATATAAATTGATAAAGTGGACAAAAATCACTACAATGTCTTCTGAACTGAGTGACTGTCTCATGAACATGCTCATCGGATATCTACCAACTGGTTACATATATTTATACAATATGCCATCAGA